AGGGGAGGGGAGGAGGGAGGGGAGGGGAGGGGGAGAAGGAGAGGGGAGAAGGGGAGGGGGAGGGAAGGGGGAGGAGAAGGGGAGGGGAGGGGAGGGGAGGGGAGGGGATAGGATCCCAATCAGGCTCCACGCTCAGCACAGAGCCAGATAGGAGGCTCAATCCCACAACACTGGGACCCGGGCCTGAGCTGCAATCAAGAGTCAGATGCTTAACTAACTGAGCCACCCAGACACCCCAGAACATGGGATGCTTGATCTTGGGATCATGAATTTGAGCCCCACGTTGGGTGTAGAGACTACCTAAAAATATAACACTTAAAAAAAGTGGAGTAAATACCGAAGAAAAGGTAAACAATTCCAGAATTCACTGTCCTGAGCACTGAATTCTATTCTGAAGACCGGATAACTCCTTTTGATATCACCCAAATATGGAGACTAATAGTTGCATCTCAAATCAGTTTTGTCTTCCTTAGTAATAGACTCTGATTTTTAGCTGGGCCTATTACTGCTCAGCTAACTACGTACATTTCCAAACCACTCGTATGATCAGATGCGGCCGTGGGATTAAGCACCAGCTAAAGAGAGACAAGCAGGTGTGTTGTTGTAGGAGGCTTCCCAAAAGGGTCTTTAAAAGGAATGGATTGATGGATGGATTAATGGATAAACAAATTGTGGTCCATACTCCTACAACATGGAGGAGCTGGAAAACATCCTGAATGAGATACTCCAGACGCAAAGAGACAAATATTATATGATTACACTCATAGGAAGTAGGTAGAATATGGAGACTTCTGCACAGCAATGTGAAACTACTTTATGACAGTGAACTGTGTCACTAAAAATGGTTAAAATGGTACTTTATGGTATTTTGACCACAGTAATAAAACAAGGAGTGGGGTGGATTTGACTAAGGTATGGAATTCGGTGGAGGAAGGATCGCCTTTTGAAAAAATGCTGCTAGAGAAGTTGGCTTTCTACAGGCTAAAAAATGAACCTCTATGCAAGTTTCAGACCTAACAGAAAAATTAACTGAAAATGAATCATGGACTTACATTTAAAACAGAAAACTAAGCAACAGAAGAAAAATCTTCAGGCTCTAGAGCTAGGCAAAGAGTTAAGAGTTGACACTAAAAGCATGACCCATAAAAGGAAAAAAATCCATAAATTGGATCTCGTTAAAATCAAGAACTATTATTCTATGAAAAACCTTGTTAGGAGAATAAAAACAAAACTAGAATGGGGAAAAATACTTTCAAACCACTTATTTTCAATGCAGGTGAAATAGCCCTCTACTGGAAGATGCCATCTAGGACTTTCGTAGCTGGAGGGAAGTCATGCTTCAAAGGACAGGCTAATGCAGCTGGTAACCAATTTGAAGCCAATCCTCATTTACCATTCTGAAAACCCTAGGGCCCTCAAGAACTTTTCAATCTACTCTGCCTGTGCTCTATAAATGGAACAACAAAGCCTGGATGACAGAATTAACTGTTTATATGGTTAACTGAATATTTTAAACCCACCGTTGAGACCTACTGCTCAGAAGATTTGTTCCAAACTATGACTGTTCATTGACCATGCACCTGGTCACCCAAGAGCTCTGATGGAGGTGTCCAACAAGATTCATGTTGTTTTCATGCCTGCTAACACAACAGCCATTCTGTAGCTCGTGGGGCAAGGAGTAATTTCAACTTTTAAGTCTTATTTTAGGGTTTTTAAGTCTTATTAAGAAAGACCTTTTGTAAGGCTGTATAGCTGCCATTGTGATTTCTGATAGATCTGGGCAAGGTACATTGAAAACCTCTGGAAAGGATTTGCTATTCTAGATGCCACTATCTATTCTTCAAGGTAAGAGGTCAACATAGCAACATTAACAGAAGTTTGGAAGAAGTGGATTCCAACCCTCATGGAGGACTTTTAGGGGTTCAAGACCTCAGTAGAGAAAGTCACTGTAGATGTGGCTGCAATAGCAAGAGAATGAGAATTAGATGCGGAGCCTGAAGATGTGACTGAATGGCTACAATCTCATGATCACATTTGAATGGATGACGAGTTTCTTCTTACAGATGAGCAAAGAAAGTGGTTTATTGAAATGGCAATCTAGTGCTGGCGACCATGCCATGAAGACTGTTGAAATGACAACAAAGGATGTGAAATTTTACATAATCTTGGGGCACCTGGGTGGTTCAGTCAGTTAAGCGTCCAACTTCAGCTTAGGTCATGATCTCACGATTCATGGGTTCGGGCCCCGTATCGGACTATCTGCTGTCAGTACAGAACCTGCTTCAGATCCTCTGTCCCCCTGTCTCTCTGCCCCTTCCCAGCTCATGCTCTCGCTCTCTCTCTCAAAAATAAACATGAAAAACACTCAGAATATTACATGATCTTAGTTGATAAAGCAACAGCAGCGTTTGAGAGGATGGACTCCAGTTTAGAAAGAAATTCTACTGCAGGTAAAATACCAAACAGCACTGATGCATGTTGCACAGAAATTGTCCTTGCAAGGAAGAAGCAGTCAATGCAGCACAAACTGTCATTGTTGTCTTAAAGAAACTGCCCCAGGGGCGCCTGGGTGGCGCAGTCGGTTAAGCGTCCGACTTCAGCCAGGTCACGATCTCACGGTCTGTGAGTTCGAGCCCCGCATCGGGCTCTGGGCTGACGGCTCAGAGCCTGGAGCCTGTTTCAGATTCTGTGTCTCCCTCTCTCTGCCCCTCCCCCGTTCATGCTCTGTCTCTCTCTGTCTCAAAAATAAATAAACGTTAAAAAATTAAAAAAAAAAAATAATAAATAAATAAAAAAAATAAAAAGGAGTCTAGAAAAAGATACAGAGAAGATAAGCAAAGGCCATTCAAAATACACAGAACTGGTCTCCCCAGAGAAAACAAAAATAATGGAACAGAACATTTCACAAGAATACTAAATGAAACTGAGAGCACACACCATGTTCAAGAGGAAATGGTGATCCAGAATGGTCAAAACAGAGAGCTATTTGAAGAGCTATCTTCAAAGATAAAAGGCCCTTTTATTTATTTATTTTTTCAACGTTTTATTTATTTTTTTTGGGACAGAGAGAGACAGAGCATGAACGGGGGAGGGGCAGAGAGAGAGGGAGACACAGAATCGGAAACAGGCTCCAGGCTCTGAGCCGTCAGCCCAGAGCCTGACGCGGGGCTCGAACTCCCAGACCGCAAGATCGTGACCTGGCTGAAGTCGGACGCTTAACCGACTGCGCCACCCAGGCGCCCCTAAAAGGCCCTTTTAAAGTCAGGCAGAAGGACACTTAAGGGGTTAGGGAGGGAGGGGGGTGCTGGGTGGGGCAGGGAGGGGCGGGGATCAAGCTGGCCTCAGCTCTCATTAACATTCAGCATTTGCAACAGTAGGATACTTTAATGTTTATTTTTGAGAAAAGCACAAGCAGGGGAGGAACAGAAGAGAGAGGAACAGAGGATGGGAGGCAGGCTGCGCTCACAGCAGTGAACCCGATGAGGGGCTCAAACTCACGAACCGTGAGATCACGACCAAAACCATGAGATCATGACCAAAGTCGGCCGCTTAACTGACTGAGCAAGAACAATACTTTTAATATCCTTGAGCAAAAGGAGTTAAGACAAGCAGTCTTTCGAGAAATAAGAGAACAATTCTGGACATGAAAGAACTCGGGGCATAGAGTTCTTTCTGAAGAAAGCACTAGAGAACAGAACAAGTCAGGTGAGAAGTAACTTTATTCACTACAGAAGAGAGATAGTGATGAGCATTACATATATGGAACTGTAGGGAAAAAAAATACTTTAAAAAGGATGCAGAAAAGAGTAACAGAATAAGCAGTGTTAATCGAATCATGTAGAAATGACAATGAAAAAGTTGAGAGGAAGAAGGGATACCATGAGAGGAGATAGAATTGACCCCTATGTAGTTGAGATTGTAAAGCTATTCAAACCTGGGGGCACCTGGGTGGCTCAGTCGGTTGAGCATCCGACTTTGGCTCAGGTCACGATCTAGAGGTCTGTGGGTTCAAGCCCTGCGTCAGGTTCTCTGCTGACAGCTCAGACCCCGGAACCATCTTCAGACTCCCTGTCTCCACCTCTCTGTGCCCCTCCCATGCTCATGCTGTCTCTCAATAATAAAACGTTAAAAAAAAAAAAAAAGGTACTAAAACATGCTTAATTTTATCACGAGTTTGATAAAACTTCAAGACAGCCCCACACTCATCCATGTTGGTAGGCTATAATAGTTTGACTAGTTCTTAGAGTAATTTCTGAAGACCTAATTTGGCAGTGAGATGTTAATATTTAATATCCCTCTCTTACCACTGTTGAACTTGCCATGTTACAACCAATCCTCCCAAGTTTATGCTTTGTTTCTGCCTCCACTCCATACTGAAGACCAGATTATTGTTCCTTACCTGTGTACTTATCAGCATGGCATAGATTTCTTCACCCCAGGTCTCTAGTAGCTTCGCTTAGGTACCTAATTCATTTCAGTGAACAAAGCATTTGGGACACATGCTCCACACTTCCCTTCCAGCTCCCTCCCATTTCTTTGAGATCTCTTCCAGAAGTTGGATGTACAAGGATGTGTCCTTGCTTCCTAACCTCACCCAAATGTGTGAAGTTCCTTCCCAAGACAGTATCACACATTATTAGAATGCCAAGTGTGGACATTCTAGGAATGTCATCGTTCGCTGAACACACAGCTGGCAAAAACGCATTAAAAAAAACAAGACTCTCTGAAACGTATTCAAATAAGCCTCAATTTTAATAAGATCCTCTGCATACACATTTGCTACTGAAAATTGAACTACCACAAAAAACTTTTATTACAACTCTAATTTTTGAAAACCAGAAAACCTAGCCTATGCACCCTGCCATAATTATAATTATGATTATGCTCTCCAGCCAAACCACCCAATATTCTCTATGTATTCCTCCCTGCACAAGTTACGTGGCTTCCAATTTGATGTTAGGGTTTCTTTTAAATGTTTTTATTCGAGAGCATGAGTGGGGGAAGGGCAGAGAGAAATACACACACACACACACACACACACACACACACACACACACAGAATCTGAAGCAGGCTCCAGCCTCCCAACTGCCAGCACAGAACCCTACTCTACAGAGCTCTAGTCGGATGCTTAACCCAACTGAGCCACCCAGGAGCCCCACGTTAGGTTAACCGATCTTCATGACTTCAGGTTTCTCAAACACCCAGGCTACACTCAAAACCCACTAGTGCTTCCTTGGGTCATATCAAAAAGTGGAACTAAAGTATATTGAGGTCACTCAAATGCAAAACACCGGATTCCTCACAAATTATTGTTATCAAGGTAGAAAAGACAGAGCTAATATAGATTATCAAAATATTATACTTTGTCTATAATAGAGCAGCCTTCCCAAGGTGCTGCATAATGATTCTAAAATTACTAGCAAGGAAAACACCATATAATAAGGTTTATGTTTACATAGACTCCATGTCATAATTATTCTCCATGCTGGTATCCTCGGGAGGTCTATGATACAGGCAATAATGACATCTACATCTAAATCTTTCTACTCTGGATTCATCCTGGAAAAAAAAAAAAGAGAGAGATGAATTGCATTAATTTAAATAAAATGGATTAATTGCACCACTAATTGAACTGTAACAACCCTCAAATCTAGGACTGGTTATTAGAATAGCCTTTGAAATACACTTGTGGGGCAAAGAGGAGGCAAGATTGAAATGTATGGGTACTAAAGAATGCCAGATTGCAGATCATTTTGTAATTGTAACATCTGAGCGTCAAAAAATATATTCTAAGGTCATTCTCTGAATGCCTTAAATGTTAAGTCCTCCTAGATTCTGTACTCATGTTATTGCCCTCTTACTACAGAGTACATTGTACATCTACCATAAGATAAAAGTTGGAGAATCTTAGTTGGGGCACCTGGGTGGCTCAGTTGGTTGAGCGGCCGACTTTGGCTCGGGTCATGATCTCGCGGTCCGTGAGTTCGAGCCCCGCGTCGGGCTCTGTGCTGACGGCTCAGAGCCTGGAGCCTGTTTTGGATTCTGTGTCTCCCTCTCTCTGACCCTCCCCCGTTCGTGCTCTGTCTCTCTCTCTGTCTCAAAAATAAATAAACATTAAAATAAATAAATAAAAAATAAAAATAAAATAAAAATATTTTTGAGAGAGCGAGTGGCTGAGGGGCAGAGAGAGAGGCAGAATCCCAAGCAGGCTCTAGGCTGGTCAGCATAGAGCCCAGTGTGGGGCTCGAACTCAGGACCCGAGCCGAAATCAAGAGTCAAGATGCTTAACCCACTGAGCCACCCAGGTGATCTAAAAGTTAAAGAATCTTAAAAACACAAGTGTTATTCACATCCTGCACTCATGAGTGACCGCTGCTCATCATTCTTAACATCCTAATTGACATTGGGTGCCCAGAGTTAGGCAGTGCTGTCAGCCCAGATCACATGAACCTACCGTGGAACGCTGGTTGAAGTAGCGATGATTTTTAATAAACCACATCAGCCTTTCCATCCTTTCTTTCCGAGCAGTTAACAAAGTCCTTACTCCACCCCTCCTCCTGTTGCTGAGTATTCGGTCCACAAGTCCCTGTGGTTTCGTCTCTGTGTCCTGCTGTTGGGGTGGATATTCTGGTAGAGGGGAAGGAAGTTTGATACTAGGGTCGAGAGTCAATTGATTAAGGTTCTTTATTAATACTTCGGAGATGGTTTGAGAGGCAGCTGAAAGACAAAAGAAAGTTAAGATCCATTAGGGTGAATTGCAATATCCAGAAGTCACTTGTCTCTTGCTCAAAGTAGGTGTGCCTGTTAAAACAGGTTAACAATAAACATTGGGAGGTTCTTCAGGGTTAAGATCACACATAGACATTACCTACTGTGTTAGTGTAACACACCTCAAATGGTGAGAGCATACATTTGAAAATGTGCTTAAGAATCCACTGTGATAGGGGTGCCTGGGCGGCTCAGTTGGTTAAGTGGCTGACTTCGGCTCAGGTCATGATCTCTCGGTCCGTGAGTTCGAGCCCCGCTTCGGGCTCTGTGCTGATAGCTCGGAGCCTGGAGCCTGCTTCTGTTTCTGTGTCTCCCTCACTCTCTGCCCCTCCCCATCCGTGCTCTGTCTCTCTTTGCCTTTCAAAAATGAATAAATGTTAAACAAAAATGAAAAAGAATCCACTGTGATAGAGGGCACCTGGGTAGCTCAGTAAATTAAGCCTCTGATTCCAAGAGTTGGTTTCGGCTCAGGTGGTGATCTCAAGTTCCGTGGAGTTTGAGCCCTACATTGGGTTCTGTGCTAACAGTGGGGAGCCTGCTTGGGATTCTTGCTTCTCCTCCTCTGCCCCTCCCCTGCTCCCTCTGCCTCTTGAAATAAATCAACTTAAAAAAGCTAAAAATTAAATAAATAAATAAATAAGAACCCACTATAATGGAAAAGTGCTCATTCTCAGAATTTCCCCCTCTTCCTCTTATCGGCAGTTCTGAGGTTAGATTTTTTTTCCCCCAGTGTCAAAGATACCTTATGTATAGGATTCCAACTGGGAAAAAATATGGGACAGAAATCAGGTATTGGCAGTTCTCCTATTTTCATGTGTGTGAATTTTTAATAGCGGGGTGGGGAGGGGAAGCAAAGCATTAATGCAAGTCAAAATTAGTAAACAAGTTTCAGCAGTTCACCTTGATAATTACAAAAAACCTCTCTCTTAAATTTTCCTAGGGGAAGGTGGGTAGGAGAAAACACTCACCCAGTGAAATAGACAAAGTAACCCGAAATGTAACAGTCTCTCTCCTTAAGCAGAACTAGAAGTCAACTGGCTGTTCCCCCTTCACTCCTACCCAGGCTTTTCCTGGTGTTAATTCTCTCCACTCAAACTCATTTGTTTTGGGAAATCAGCCACTCACTCGCCTCTTTCCGAACCATGATGCATACCCCATACGCACTCCCATCTCATAGAAGGCAGTTAACCTTAATCTTTCCTGTGTGAAAGCATTAAATATAAAAGTCAGTTTCCATCTGACTTCTAGGGACTTGTGCACATGTAAATAAAGATCCCTAGCTGCAGAACCTTCAGGGTCTATGGCAGATTTGAGGAAAAGCAAAGATCGGATCGAATAGACCTTACAAATGTCCCCTTCGTTAATTTCCCCCCTTGTATATGTCCACTCAGGCTCTTCCCTCAAAGACGCAGGGTGGGGTGGCGGTGTGGACTGGTGAGGGGGCGGGGAGGAGAGTGGTGCCTGGCAGGGGATGTTGATGGCAGCAGAATAGAAAATGTCAGGCTTCCCTTCCAGCTGGGGCCCACCTACCACCATCAGCCTACGCCATCCAGCCCCACCATTAGGGTATTAAGGTTTCAAATCCCAAGGGTCTGGTTCTCCAAGGCCAAGCCTGGGATTGGGTGGAGCTCCAAGAGCTTCTCCGGTAGGAGAAGAGCCCAGGAAGGAGAGGGCCTAATTAGCACTATCCCCGGAGCAGCGTTCCCAAGAAAGCCCTCCAGAATGCATCCTACTAATTTACATTACACTCACTGGCTTTTATCGATGGGCCCCCTCCTTCAATTTCCTCCGCAAAGCCATTTCCCTGTTTATTAACATTCCTAAAGGGGAAATTTAGCTGGAAAACCAATTCAGAAAAGGTTGGGGAGATTCAAAAAGCCCATAGGTTACCTTGGGAGTTTAGGCTTCTAATGTTTGGGGTGTTTTTTTTTTGTTTTTCTTTCCTTTTTACCATTCCTGACACGTATTGCGGATAGGCAGACATTTTCAGGCACGGCCTAGGAGTATTCTGGATTGCTTTTCCCCAGAAACTGGGCCGAAAGCATTGAAGTATTCCTGAGCCCAGTAAGCAAGCAATGCAGTTCTCTCCCTTCCCCAGCTTCTAGCTCTTCCCGTTTCTTCCCCAGAGGGACCTACATACACAACGTGGCCCTCCCGCAGGGAAGTGGTTTACTTCTCTGCATTCCTGTGTGTTCCGAAAAGGCACTATCTGGCTTACCTGAGCCTCCCTGGGAATTTTCTTCACTGGCCATCTGAGAAGGTTCTGGGCCACAGGATGGGTAAAGCTTCGTTGGCGAATCCATCGAAAGCCAAGTCTCAGTCCTTCTAGACCTTTGGATTCCAGCGTAAAGCAATGGGCTCAACTAGCTGCCAAGTAGCCTGGAAAGAACGAGATAGCCCAGAAAGGACGAGAAAAACCGAGGCTCCAACAAACCGTGGCGAGAGAAAAAAGAACAAACCTCAAAGTTTCGATCTGGTTTCCTCTTAAAACTACAGATAAGCCAATCAGCGAGCCTATTTTAATGTAAATGCTAATGGTTAAAGGGTAAGGTGAGTGGGCGTCATCCTATTAGTGGAATAAGAGGATAATTCTTCGTCTGCTCTGCATTAAAACAATCATACTCTGTCATGTAGGCTGGGAATTTTTACAAGAACCTCGGGTTGTGTCTCCCTAAGGTTGCCTTAAAAATCTTTTTTTGTTTGTTTGTTTTTTTCAAACTACTTCGGGAGATGGCTCCTGGTTTGTGAACTGGGCTTTAAGGTATTCTCGTGCAGAGAGGTGAAGGGTGGTTTTCCTCCCAATTGGATTAATTCCCAATTAAACTGACTGAGGAAGTTTCCTTAAAGTTTTCCTTGCCTCGCATCTTAAACCTGGGGTTGCTGGTAAGGGAAAGTAGAGGAGAAATAAAGTGTCTGTTATAAACACTTTACTAGCTTGATATTTTATGGATGTGTATCTTGGATCGCTTTCTTTGTTTATTTTTTTTTAACGTTTATTTATTTTTGAGACAGAGAGAGACAGAGCATGACCGGGGGGGGGGGGGGCGGTGGGCAGAGAGAGGGAGACACAGAACTGGAAGCAGGCTCTAGGCTCTGAGCCATCAGCCCAGAGCCCGATGCAGGGCTCGAACTCACGGAGTGTGAGATCATGACCTGAGCTGAAGTCGGACGCCTAACCGACTGAGCCACCCAGGCGCCCCTGTTTGTTTATTTTTGAGAGAGGTAGAGAGAGAGCCTGAGCACGCCAGCAGGGGAGGGGCGGGGGGGGGGGCAGGTAGCGGATCCAAGAGAACTCTGCACGGACAAAGGCAACCCTGAATTGGGGCTCGAACTCACGAACAGTCAGATCGTGACCTGAGCCAAAGTCAGACACTCAATGTACTGAGCCACCCAGGGGGTCCCTGTAATTTTACTTTGTTTTATAGGCTATTAGTTGAATCACACTTAACATTTGTGAGCAGCTGAAATTAACTAAATTTATAAATCCCCTTCCTGCCTCCCCCCATTTGTGCTGAACTCTGGCCAAGAGCACCAATATTAACTGCTGATTTTCTGCTGGAGGTGGGAGAACGAGCCCCCAGCTGTCCCACCCTCTCCCCACCCTCAATGTGCAGCTTCCCCCACTCCCCTTTTAGCTGGAAATCATGAGAAAATACTCAAAAGCAATCTTGCTTGTTTCTAGTAAAAAAGCAAGTCAAGGTTCTGATCAAGAAATATTTGTATAGGTGATGAGGAACAGCCCTAAGTACATGTTTGGTCACAATACTTGATTCAGGCGTTTCTGGAAAAGTGCAGCCTCCAGATAGCCAGCATCCACAGCACCTGGTAACTTGTTAGATATGATTAGAAAGCACCGAGCTCCAACCCACATCTACTGAATCAAAGACCACGGCCCAGCCATCACCGATGTAGTGATTCTGAGGTGTGCTAACGGTTAAGAAGCTCTGCTTAATGGCGTTCTTGACTCTCCACGCCTTTTGTTCTCGTCTGTTTCCTCCCTTGCCCTGGATACTGGTCCCATGGCAGCCTCTCAAAATTCCGTTGGGAGAGGTGAGGGCAAAAATCAGATTACAGGAGGTACAAGATTAAGAAGACAGTGAAAAAGGCCGGTACAGACTCCCAAGAAATCCAGGTTTAGGACAAAGGGGAGAGAGCCTTGGCTGCAAGAAGGTGCAGGATATGAATGGTGGAGGTTCAGTTTGCTTCAACATGACAGAAGCTGGGATAAAAGCAAAGGAAAGTAAAAATACGGAGAGATGGGATACTTGGGGAAACACCCCCCCAAAATATGCTTTAAACAATCAGACTTTTTTTTTTAATTTTTTTTTTCAACATTTATTTATTTTTGGGACAGAGAGAGACAGAGCATGAACGGGGGAGGGGCAGAGAGAGAGGGAGACACAGAATCGGAAACAGGCTCCAGGCTCCGAGCCATCAGCCCAGAGCCCGACGCGGGGCTCGAACTCACGGACCGCGAGATCGTGACCTGGCTGCAGTCGGACGCTCAACCGACTGCGCCACCCAGGCGCCCCAATCAGATTTTTTTTTTAAAAAGTCTTATTTATTTATGAGAGAGAGTGAGAGAAGGCACGAGCCTGAGAAGGGGAGAGACAGAGAGAGGAAGAGAGAGAATCCCAAGCAGACTCTCACTGTTAGTGCAGAGCCCATTATGGGGCTTGAACTCACAAACCCTGAGATCATGACCTGAGCCAAAACCAAGAGTCAGATGCTTAACCAACTGAGCCACGCAGGTGCCCCGAGATTAAAAAAACCTTTCAGGGGGCACCTGGGTGGCTCAGTTGGTTAAACGACCGAGTTCAGCTCAGGTCATGATCTCATGGCTCATGAGTTCGAGTCCCATGTCAGGCTCTGTGCTGACAGCTCAGAGCCTGGAGCCTGCTTTGGATTCTGTGTCTCCCTCTCTCTGCCCTTCCCTTGCTCACTCTCTGCCTCTCTCTCAAAAATAAATAAACATTAAAAAAAAAATCTTTCAAAATTCTGACACATTTCTATTTAACATGTTTTTTTTTTTTCTTTATAGTATGAAAGATGAGGTAAAAAGCCAAACAGACTAAAGCAACTTGGAGAATAAAAAAAGACTGTAAAAGCATACATCAAGGAAACTATCCCTAATTTCTCCAGAGATAAGAAATCATATAACAGGGGCACCTGGCTGGCTTAGAAGAGTATGTAGCTCTTGATCACAGGGTCGTGAGGTCAAGCCCCACAGTGGCTGTAGAGATTACTTAAAAATAAAATGGTTTTTTAAAAAAAAATCATATAACATATAATGCTATATAACATAAACAGGATGCCCTTTTTAAAGAAGTAAAACAGCGAAAATAGAATACCTGGAAATGAGAAATTTGATGTTAGAAACTAAAAAAAAAACATGGTTTGAAGAAGAAATCGAAGATATTCCCTCAATAATTAAAGCAGAACCACAAACAGACGTAAAATAGGAGAGGAGATATAAGAAAATGAAAATTTAAGATCAGGAAGTATAATGGCTTTCAGATTCTTCAACAACAACACCGAAGGCTAGAGGATAGTGGAGAAATCCCTTCCACATTCTGAAGGAAAATGCTTTCCAACCTAGAATTCTGCATTAGTCAAACGACTGAGCCAGTGTGGAACATCCTCAAACATTCAGTTTCTCAAAAAATGTCACCACTGGCATAGTTTCCTTAGTCTTGTGGCAAATTAACTTGATATGAGAACACTACCACGTAAGTATTCCTAAGGTCATGAAACAGGCTCACAGACCATACTAAAAAGCTCATTAAAAATTTTTTTTTAATTTTTGGGACAGAGAGAGACAGAGCATGAACGGGGGAGGGGCAGAGAGAGAGAGAGAGACACAGAATTGGAAACAGGCTCCAGGCTCTGAGCCATCAGCCCAGGGCCTGACGCGGGGCTCGAACTCCCAGACCGCGAGATCGTGACCTGGCTGAAGTCGGACGCTTAACCGACTGCGCCACCCAGGCGCCCCAAAATTTTTTTTAATTAAAAATCAAAACACTCCTATCTTGCCAGTTTTTTTAAGTCAATTTAACGAGCACAGCAAAAAGCAAAGCAAAAGGAAGGGGGCAGACAGAACGTTAAAAACAAGACGATAGGCCCAAAATGGAGTCGCTCATGCTAAGCCCCATGTCACCAAATTGAAATTGAATTCAATTACAATGTTGGCTCTCCCAGCATGCAATTTGAAACCAGTTAATCAGAATCTCCACATCAATACTAGTTAGGTAATCTGTGCAACTAATCGACCCCTGCCATGCCCTAAAGGAAAGTACCCTTGCAATAACCAATCTGCGTTCTTGCCTAGAACAACTTTCAGAATCCTGCTCCTTTCTGCCTATAAACTCTCTTTTCTTGTGTAGCTCTTTAGAATTTCTTTCTATTTCCTATACCGGATGCTGCCCAATGCATGAATCGTTGAACAAAGCCAATAAGATCTTTAAAATTTACTCCCCTGAATTTTGTTTTTTAGAAATAGGATACAATCTAGACGAATGGTTCTTAATTCCGAAGTTATGGGATATGCAGTTGATAGGGTTCATACACGCTCCCCTAAAATATGACATCTTGGGGCTCCTGGGTGTCTCAGCTGGTTAAGCCACCTGTGTGAGTTTGGGAGTTAGAGCCCCACGTTGGGCTTCGCGCTGGCAGTGCAGAGCCTGCTTGGAATTGTCTCTCCCCCCCCTCTTTCTGCCCCTCCCCTGCTCATGCGCTGTCTCTCTCTCTCTCTCTCAAAATAAATAAGTAAACTTTAGGGGTGCCTGAGTGGCTCAATCGGTGTAACCACCTGACTTCGGCTCAGGTCATGATCTCCTGGTTCCTGAGTTTGAAGCCCCAACCCCCCCCCTCCCCCTCGCTCGGTGCTTACAGCTCGGATCCTGGAGCCTCCTTCAGATTCTGTATCTCCCTCTCTCTCTGCCCCTTCCCCGCTCATGCGCTGTCTCTCTCTCTCAAAAATGAATAAACTTTAACAAAATAACATAAATAAACTTAAAAAAATGAACACATAAAATATGACGTCTTGCCATATTGACAATTTCAAGCTGAGAGGTGCTCTTCCCATACCTGGAAGGGAACGTCTTCATCGCCTGCTAAATTTCCCCCCCCTACTCCTTAACCTACGATATCCTTCCACGACCGTCTCCTCTTCCTCAAACCTAGCATAAAAACGCTCAGGTTTAACTCTTCGTTCAGGTCTTCATTTCCTCCTGGAGGCTCCTGTAGGGAAAACTCGCGATGAGTAGATGTGTGTGCTTTTCTCCTGCTAATCTGCCTTGGTCAGTTTAATTTTGAGACCCAGCCAGGGACCTTCACGGGGTCAAGGAAAGCTGCTTCGTTCCCCACACCGTGTTTATATGTTTGTCTCTCTACCACTCCTCCTTCCGCTTTGACGGGGTGGTCATGAGAACCAGAGTGGAGGTTTGAGGAAAGTGCCGAAGGAGCAGGTGCTAGGTACCAATAACGTACACTGATTCCACCAGTGAAATAGGCCTGGCCATAGCTATAGCTTGCCGAGTAGCCTGGTGAGCAATCATGAATTTTATTTGCATTTTAAAGGCA